TTGCATAATCAAAGGTGATACGCCCCACCATAACCCCCTTTCAGATGGTTTACTAGACCATGGGAGAGTCCTAAGCTTCCACATTAAATCAGTGCCGTGGTAAAGAGATGTCACATGAACCTCATGTACAATGGACCAACCCCCGCCCAGCCCTGTTCCTTCCTCACTTCCTCTGCTTCTCTTAAACCCCCTGCTGCAGCCTCTGTGTGATCCGCCTGCTTGAACACCTTCCTCTCTTTTGAAGACTGTCCTTTTCCAAGCATAATGTCCTTCTCCAGGGACTGGCCCCTCCTGATGACATACTCCAAGCATTTGAGATGAAAGGTCACATCCTCGCTTCATTATAGCATCGTTGTTACTATGTGCTGTTGAGCTGGAGCCAATTCCTAGAGGATTCTGTGGGATTGGTTTACATTCAAACCAAAGCCGTTGTGATCATGTTTATTTCCTCACAAAGTGACCCTCCAATGCATTTCCAAGGTATATGTTTGTCTTTTTAAAAAAATTATTTTATTATTTTGTGTGCATGTACTGTCAAATTGGATCTGACTGGTACAAGAGGAGATTGTCCCTCCTTCTCCAGCAAAGCATCTGGTGGGTTTGAACCACCAAGGTATATTTTCTTAAAAAACCACACACACACATTGAAACTATTTTAATCTTTTTCATTGTTGCACATTTTCTTCCCCTCTCCCCAGCTGTCTTCCAGCAATCCCTGTTGTGCACTCCTTGTTCCAGATTGTTGTCAGACATGTATATACTCCTGTCAGAGAGCTCCTCCCCTCATCTGTTAATGCCTTGTTCGTTATCTCTTCATTCTTTTCCCATTCTCTCCCCAACCCCCCCCATATCTGTCCTAAGTTATAGCAGCGGCGTTATGCAGTATTTGTCCTTTTATGATTGAGGTATTTCACTCAGCCTAATGTCCTCCAGGCTCCCTCATGTTGTATAATGTTTTATGAATTCATTGTTTTTAAAATGCTGCATAGAGTTCTGTTGGCCTAGGGGCAAGAAGCTGCACTGCAATCAAAGAGGTGCATGGTTTGAATCCAGCAGATACTCTGCTGGAGAAGGAGGGACAATCTCCTCCTGTACAAGTCAGATCCGATTTGACAGTACACACACACACACATACACACACACACACACAAATAAAAAAAATGCTGCATAGTATTCCATTGTGTGAATGTACCATATTTTTTCTATCATTCATTTTTTGATGGGCACTTGAGTTGCTTCTATCTCTTTGTTATTGTGAATAATGCAGCAATAAATATGGGTATGCATACATCTGTTTGAGTCATGGCTCTGGTTTCTTGAGGATATACTTCCAGTAGTGGAATTGCTGGGTCAGATGGTATTTCTGTTTCTCTTTGAAAAAGCATCAGATCTCCTTCCATAGTGGCTGTACCATTTTACATTCCCACTAGCAGTGAATAAAAGTTTCAATCTTTCCACAGCCTAGCCAACATTTGTTGTTTGCTATTTCTTTCTTGTTGTTGTTAGGTGCCAAGTACAACTCATATTCACCCTATGAAGAAAAAAACAATCTGAACCCTGTTGTATCCTGTGCCATCCTCACACTTCCTAACGCGCAAGAGCCCATTGCAGCAATCATCATGTCAATCCACTTCATTGAGGGTCTTCTTCATAGGCCCTCTTCCCTTCCCAGTATCATGTCCTTCTCCAAGGAATAGCATCTTCCAGCAATATGCCCAAAGTATCATTCTCACCTCCAAAGAGCACTCCAGCTGCACCCTCTCCAAGACATATCTGTTTGTTCTTTTGGTTTTCCGTGGGATGTTCAGTGCTCTTCTCCAACACCACAGCTCAAAGGTGTCAATTCTTTTCCTGTCATCCTTATTCATTATCTAGCTCTCAGATGCATAGAAAGTGATCAGAAAGACTTTGGCCTGAATCAGACACACCTTAATCCTCAAACTGACATCATTACTCCTTAATAATTTTAAAAGGTTCCTAACTGCAGATTTTTTTCCCAGTACAATGCATCTCTTTATTTCCTGACTGCAGGTACCAAGGGTGTTAATTGTGGATCCAAGCAAGATGAAGCTGTTGACAGTTTCAAGCTCCTCTCCATCCATCACAACACTGAATATTGATCCAGTGGTAAGAATCTTTGTTTTCTTGACATTAAGATGCAGCCTTTTTTTTTTTTTAATTTTGTGTGCGTGTGCCGTCAAATCAGATCTGACTGGTACAGGAGGATATTGCGCCTCCTTCTCCAGCAGAGCGTCTGGTGGATTCGAACCGTGTTCCTCTGGGATTGCAGTGCAGCTTCTTGCCACTAGGCCACCAGAGCTCCCCTAAGATGCAATCTTGACACTAATTTTATGAGATGCTGTCGAGTTGAGTCAACTATGACCCGTGACGACCCTATGAATTATAGATCTGAACCTTGTTCTACCCTGTGCCATCCTCACCATCTCTGCTATGCCCAAGGTCGTTGTGGTTATCACTTTGTCGGTCCATCTTGGTGAGGGTCTTCTTGTCAAACCCTGCATCATCCTCAGCATAGTGTCTCGCTCCAAGGATTGATTCCTCCTGAGACTATGCCCCAAAAGTTTTACCATCCTTCCTCTAAGGAGCTCTTTGGTTTCACTTTCTTCAAAAAAGATTTTTTGCTTCTTTTGGAAAACCATGGTATATTCAATACTCTTCATCAGCACCACAATTCAGAGACATTGATTCTTCTTCGATCTTTGTTATTCATTGTTCAATCTCTTTTCCAACTCTGATTGAGCTTTAATATAAGCTTTGCAGGGTGGCAAAAGTAACTACTCCTAGTTTTATTGTTCTATACAACTTATTTCCATGACCCCACCCAAAAAGAGTCCTTCATCTTCCGTGCACCATTAGCAAGGTAACTAGTCCCATTGGTGAGCCACGGACACCTTGCATCTGCATAGTCCTACCCAGTCAGGCGACGAGATTTACAAAGACAATGACTAGAAAAGACTATAACGTGATCCACTACAGCACAGAGGCAGCTGGGATGCCCACATTAAAGGGTCCAACAAGAACCTCAGATTGTTCTTGCTGGAGTGGGATGCCCCGAGCATCATGATGTCTGGTGCAGTTATGAGGAGAGACTACAGGGGACAGTGGTGGGACAGGTATTCTGCCAGAAGCTGTTGGAAGAATCGGGGGGAGTCTAGAGAGACCTGCAAAATAGCTTCTACTTTGGTGAGTAGCTTCTGGAGCTTAAAACCTTTCAAGCAGTTGTCCAAGATGCAGCTATTGGTTTCCGAATCTGGAACAAAGAAGAGGGAGAAACAATTGATCTAACAATTTGAATAATGAAGCAAGGGAACCTCAATTTCCATGACTTTGAGACCAGAAGAACTAGATGGTGCCCAGCCACCACTGATGAAAGAAAGGGATTACAGGAAATAGTCCTTCATAGAGTGCAGGCAACAAATGGACCAAAATCCAGAGCTAAAAATGCCCAAACTAAAAATCCAGAGCTAAAAATCTCCAACAGAGACTGACAGAATCTCTGAAATCATGTCCCTTAGTCACCCTTCAAGCCTGAAAGAATACTTTATAGGCATCCTAACAACAGACAGGCCTATAAAGTGACCAATAATACCAGGTGGAGAGTTCACTCCTTAGAATAACCAGCCATGTAAGGTCCAAAGAACAGCATTTGCTCAGAAATAAAAGCAGGAAAATAGGAAGGGTGAGCTATAAGGATGAATGGAAAGGAGACTCACAGCCAAGAGTGTGGGAGGCGTAAGTTACCTGGCAGGTATAACAGTTAATGTTTTAAAACAAAATGGGTGTGGATGATTGAACAGAAAGTCAGTTTTCTGTGTAAGCTTCCATTCAAGCTTTAAAACCAAAACAAATCCAAAAAACATACTCTGATCAGGGTGGAAATAGCGAGAAGTGCCCCTTTGTTTCCTGGGATTATCATCAACAAAGCATATCACAATGTAAACCAGTCAGCATTTCTTCTTCTCCCAGCTCTGGAGGCCAGATGTCCAAGTTCAAGGTGTCAGCAGGCCACACTTTCTAAAGAACTCTGGAGAGCACCTCCTTTGTCTATTCTGGCTTCTTGCAGACCAGGCTTGCAATCATACCACCCCAGTCTCTAATTTTGTGGTCACATGGCTGTCTTCCCTTCGTCCGTGTGTACCTCAAATACAACTAAGGCAGTTCCCAGTCGTGGTCTTTTTGCCTTGTTGAAAGTGTCTCAGGCTGGGTCCTGTAGTGATGCAAATCCAGTGGTGCATGTCTGTGTGCACAAGCGCTTATCTTTGTTGGTGTTAGATGTCAGCTACTTGACTGCAACTCACAGCGACCCTCTGAAGAACAGATCAAAACTTAGCCTTATCCAGCACCATTTTCACGATCTCTACCATGCTCAAACCCTTTGTTAAAACACTGGCATGCCAGTCCAAGTCTTTTCTTGACCCTCCAATTTCCCCAGTAAGCTGTTTTTTTTCTGAGGACTGATGTTTTCTGACAACAAGCCCAAAGTATGTGGGACAAAGTTACAAAACAGAGGACAGTCACGTTATACTCAGGACCAAGGCCACGTTGACACACAATATTAAGCCACAAGAAGGCAAAGTGCACAGATTGCGCCCAGGCCCCCCTGCACCCTGGTCCCACAGTACTCCCCGACCTACCTTGGCCTGTTTAGGAGAGAGCGTGGGTGTACTTGCTCCTGCTAAAACCATCACCTCCCATTGGCCTCAAAGCCAAGCTAGGAGATGAGCAGACCAGTTCTCACTGGGGAACAGTTTCCCAGAATTTGCATCTGTTTTCTGCTTGTCTTCTTGGGAACATCTCGATCTGCAGAGCCTGTGGGCTGCAGCACAAATGCCTTTCATTAAGGTGGTGGCAGGGCTCAAGTCTTGGCCAGAGTCACAGAAGGAAAACTGTGCCTCAGCGTTCCAGAGAGTCACGAGGCAGGACAGGAGGCACCAGGCTGGGGTGCGCACACCCTCCATCTGCAGCCTTGGTCTCTCAGGATGGACCCTTCAGCAAGGAAGGCTCTTTGTGTCCTTGTCACCCTGACACTCCTGAAGCTCCCTGAAGCTGAGTCCCAAGAAGCTGGCCTCCTCCCAGGGCCAAGAAAGCCCTTCTTCAAGAGGTTCCGGAGACTGGAGGAGCAGGTAGGTGTGTCCACCATGCAGGTGGGGCTACTGGTCCTCTAAACTACAAGTAGGTGAAGGGCAGCTGGAAAAGGGACCTGGGTGCTCACCAGGCACCCAACATGGGGTTGCCTGTTGATCTGACATTTTGGGCATTGCAGAAAACATGGATGCTCTGTCCTGAAGGCTTGTCAAGATGGGTGAGGGGAGAGACAGAAGGGAGGAGGGGAGTTGGAAGACATGGGTCAGACAGCAAGGGCTGGGCAGGGTCCCTATACAAAGTGGGATGTGGTGGTCTGCTGGGACTTTCTGTGTGAACAGTGTCCTTGGCCCCATGGAGTTCAGCATGTAGTTCTAGAGACCTGGGGTCATTTGCTAGCACTTGCACCCCAGCTCTGCCTGCGGAGCCCAGTTCCTGCCCTGTCCACCCTCAAGTGGACCCTGAGCTGGCCAAGAGGGAGGGATACCCAGTGGCTGACTGCACTCCCACACAGCACAGCTGTGCACTCCCATGCTGCTTACCAGCCTTTCTGTGCTGTCCCCCACTGACAGCCATGTCTGCACCTCGATCCTCTGGATCCCAAAGAACCCAAACCAAGCCACTTGCCACATCAAGTCATGGGGATCTGGAGTGTGAGTGTGTGAGCAGGGCTCCCCAGCCAGCACTTTCTTCTGAAGTGCCCTATGTAGACTCCAATCTTTTGGCTATCAGCCAAAAATGTGTTCACACCACCCAGGGACTCCCTTCAGGCACCCAGCCCCAAATCTCACTGTCATGGAGTCAATTCCACCTCGTTCTCTGTGAGACAGAGCAGAACTGCCCCACAGGGTCCCCTGGCTGTCATTCTCACAGAAGCAAACTGCCTCATCTTCTTCCTGAAGCAAAGCTGGTGCATTCACACCATGAGCCAAGCACCTAACCACTGCACCACCAGGGCTCCCTAGGAAGACAAACCAACCCTTCACTGTAGAGTCACTTACCTAAAGGCTGTGGCAAAATCCACCCATGTGATTTACGACCTCAAAAGCTCAATGAAATATATGATTAGGCATTATATATATGACAACAACCTGGAACAAGAGGTGCATTGTAAAGAGGCCTGGAGGGGAGGGAGGGCGGGAAATGTGCAGCAATGAGTGAATGAAAGCCCGACCTCTCTGCAAACGTTCATTAAAATCACTAAGAAAAAATGAAAAAAGAAAACTCAACGGAGGGTCAATTATGAGGTCATTCTGACTCAACAGCCATGAGGGGGTTTGTTTGTTTGTTCGGTTTAGTTGTGGTTGTTGGGTGTTGTTTTTTTTTATTTCCTTTTTATTATTTCTTGTGTGTATACTGTCAAATCAGATCTGACTGGTACAGGAGGAGATTGTCCTTTCTTCTCCAGCAAAAGACCTGGTGGATTTGAACCACTTAGCTCTGGGATTGCAGTGCAACTTCACGCCACTAGGCCACCAGAGCTCCCTTAGTTTGGTTGGTTTTTTGAGGGCAGAATAGAGCTCTCCCTCAGAATTTCCCTGACTGAAAATCTTGACAGAAGCCCCACTGCCTCCTCTTTCTCCCTCAGAGTGGCTGATGAATTCGAACTGCCTACCTTTTGTCCTTTTGTTTAGCAGTAGAATGTTCCAACCATGGTACGGCCTGGGTTCTTTTATCTTGATACCAGTAGGTTTTCAGTTGCAAAGAGGTTATTCCTCTGTTTGGCTTAGCAGTCCTGGGACTTCATTACCTTGATGGGGGTGAATCTCTACCCCAGGGAACTCTGACAACCTCCCAGGTCTGGCTACAGTCTTGGCCCCATCCAAGTCCCTGTGTCACTGCCATGTGTCCTCCCTGCAGTTCCGGAGATTCCAGGAGGTGACCCTAACTCACCTGCAGGCGATTGCCAGCAACTACAACGTGTCCTACAATGTGGATGCCCGCTTCCAGAACCTGACACAGGAGAACCTGGCCCTGGCCCTGGCGCTGAACCAGTTGCAGGCTGCCGTGCAGGGTGACCTTGGCCACCTGAAGAGCTGGGTGCGGAAGGCACAGAGCAAGAGCCACAAAGTGGATGCCAAGTTGCTGGCCTTGGGCCAGGCACTGAGCGAGGGGAGCCGAGAGCATGCCCGGGAGCTCAAGGTGCAGAAGGAGCAGGGTGATGCCATCTCTGGAATGGCCCTGGACTTGCGTGCCCTGCAGGGCAAGCTGACTGGCCTGATGCAGCTTGTGCACGACCAGGGCACCAGGCTGTCTGCTCTCCAGGGGCAGATGCAGGTGGCCAGCCTTGGCACTGCAACCTCAGCCCTAATACTGCCTGAGCGGCTGAGCCCTAGCCCCCTGCCACTACAGGGACAGAGGCCTGACACTGCTGCCTCAGCCTCAGCCCTGGTCCTGCCTGAGCGGCTGAGCCCTAGCACCCTGCAGCTTTTGGGACAGATGCCTGAAACTGCTGCCTCGGCCTCAGCCTCACCCTTAGCTTCGGCCCCGGCCCTGCCTAAGTGGCTGAGCCCAAGCCAGCTACAGCCACAGGTGGACAGGCAGATGCCTGGACCTATTTTGGAGCCCAGCAACCCCCGTCAGGACATCACTGGCCATCTCCAGAAAACTTCAGAGTCTGCCAGTGCAGCCCCCAGCAATCCTCATCAGTGGGCACAATCCCCCCAGAGACCAGGAGAGAGTAAGTACCCACAGCACCCCTCTACTGTGATTCTCAGTCCCCCTTCTTCCAGGGCACCTCTGTTATTCCATGAGTCTCATAAAGGGAAGTAGAAGCCTGGTGGCACAGTGTGTTATGAGTTGGGCTACTTTCTGAAAGGTCAGCAGTTCAAATTCTCCCCATCAGCACAAAGGCTTGCGATTTTATTTATATCTCAATAAATAGGTATCTGTCTCTCAATAAATAGGTATGTTGTTATGTATCCTTGGGTTCACATCGACCCATAGATGACCCTCCAGCAGGGTTTCAGAGGCAGTATCAGGAGGAGACTACCCATCCTTCTCCCACAAAGCAGCTGGTGGATTCACACCGTGTACCTTCATGTTGACTGCACAAATTCCTTACCTAAGCGAAGGAGAGGAAGACTCTCAACAAGAAGGGTTGAAGCTGTGACTTCAGCAGTGGGCTCTAGTGTCTCGGGAATGGTGAGGGTGGCACAGGATAGGGCCGGTGTCAGGTTAGCTGTTCAGAGCATGGCTATGAGTCGGGCTCAACTCAACGGCACCTAACAACAGCCACAAGAAGCTACCAGAGCTGCATCCTTACCTCCCAGAGGGGAAAGATGAGGTGACCTCCAACTGCTAAGATTATGTTCAACTTTCTTTTGTTTATTTCCGTATTTATTATGGTTTGATGTCCATTGCCTGGCTCTGTTGTAGGTTCTCTGGGCAGGGGAGAGAGCAAGGAGGACATGCTTGTACATATAGAAAGAAAGGGGTTGCCGTCAAAGGGTTGGCTCCTGCAACCGCAGGTATGAGGACCAGGTGAAGGCTGGCATCTGCTGCAAGTTTACATCCCAAGAGGTGAAGCTCAGGTGATGGAAAGGATGCAGGGTAGAAAGAGGGGGAAGTGTTGCTAAACTTCTATTTACAGGAAGATTTTGTTTCTATGCCTTTTACTTTACTGAGCTTCACAGCCACTGCAGGAGGATTTTGTTGTTATTTTACAAATTGCAGGCTTGTGCAGCTCTGTGTTGAACAAGTCTATTTGCACCATTTTCCCCAATACCATGTCTCTGTGACTCCTTTTGGTAACTATCTAGACATTTTAAACTATTGTACACTTTTTAAAAAATAATTTTAATGAACATTTACAGAGAATTTGGATTTCCATTCATTCATTGCTGCACTTCTCTACCCACCCAGCCCTCTCCCCCGCCCCCCAGTTTGCTCCTCTCTTTAAAAAATAAAAGAAAGACTCCCTCCCTGGGACACAATCCCCCCGCACCCCTCCCACCGCCCCAAGTACATTCCACTATGCAACCTTAATTGTATTGCACACTTTTAAACTGCTGCATACTTGTAGACAATCCAACAAGGAGCAAACACACCACCGCCGAGTTCATCTCAATTCATTGGGTTTCCGAGCCTGTAAATCTTTATTGTTGTTGAATCGGACCTGATTCATAGCAGACCCTCTGCTGGGTTTCCGGGGAGAGATTGTCCATCTTTCTCCTAAGGAGTAGTTTGGTGAATCCGAACCCCCAGAGAGGTACAGCCTTTGGGTAACAGCCCAAATTCCTGATGGACTATGCCATCAGAGCTTCCTAACAGGCTTTTGTTGTTATTTTTATGTACTACTGTGTTAGAATTGACTCAAAGCTGAACCCCCGGTGGGTTTGCAGAGGCAATAAACTGCATGGAGGTGATCCATCCTTTTCTTGTGCAGCAGCTGGTGGATTTGAACCATATGCCTTTATGTTGGCAATGCAACTTTTTACCACAAGGCCACCAGAGCTCCTTTAATAGACTTTATTGTTCTTGTTTGTCTTCAAGTAGGAAATGACCCATAGCTGAACTTCCAGTGGGTTTTCAGAGACAATTAATCACTTGAGAGGAGAATGTCCATCCTTCTCCTGCAGAGCAGCTCGTGAATTTGCGATTGCAGCTCAAGTTTTTACCGTTAGGTCACCAGAGCTTCCTTAATAGACTTTAGTCTAATATATATATTATAAATTTGTTGCACTGTTTTCTCTACCCTCCTCCCCAGTTCGTTCTTCTTCCCCCCCATGTCTGTTTTAATTGTCCAATTGCCACAGTGCTTGTCAAAGCCAGTTCTGATTAATCTCCT